TATAGAAGTTGATGAGAGATAAACTGCAAGCGTAATTGTAATTTTTTTTATCTGACAGATGAATATACAGCTTTATCTTAGTTTTTTAAACTAAGCAAGTGCCTATCATTTCAGATCGTATGCTGGGGAGGAAGGCAGTCAAACCCTAAATTAAACAAAAACTACTAAATCGAAATACGGAGGTAAATTTATACAAAATTATGTAATACGTAGGTAAGTTGAAAAATAAGTTTCCCCTGTCGACTGTGGCAGAGTTTTTGAAAGTCAAAAAAATAATGAGACTTAAAGATATGACTACTTTATTTTTCCACATAGGTACCACGTACATTGAGACATTGTCATATCGTTTGATAAGCTTCAAAAAGCCATCCAGGAAAAAATCAGGGCTTTCATATGGAGAAGCGTTGAACGGCTTGTTTCACTCGTATGATCCGCGTTCATCCGCTATGAATGGGCACGGGAGATCAGGAACAGAAAACATAACCGCCTCCGGAAGGAATGGGCGAGGGGTGTATTGAGCAAGGTGCGGAGATGGTGTCGCATTCATTATGGACGTCAGCAAGGGGGAATACCGAGAGCTGGACGGAAGCGCACGGCCACTACAGAATGCAAATTCGGAAGGTGGATGCATGATTAGAGCGAAACCGGCGTATCCCCATCAATGAAGTAGCGGAGAACTTGGAATCTCCATGAGCGAGCTCAAAACATTCACCACGACATTCTTCGATACAGAAAAGTGTCAGCACGATGGTGCCCCGACAATTGACTCGACACACAAGAAAACGCATGGGGTCAGCCGGAACATCTCGTGCGTTACCATGAAGTGGCAATGACTTTCTGTTTCGGATTGTGACGGGGGATGAACGTGGGTCCACGTCAGAATCGAAGGCCGCATCTATGGAGGGAAACATCCGTCATCACTGTCCGAAGAAGTTCAAGTCAACTCCCTCTGCAGGTAAGGCTTCTCACAGTTTTCTGGGACGGCCCCAAGGAGTTTTGTAGCTGGACTTTTTGGAGGTGGAACCATCAATTCTATGCGCTACTGTGACACCCTGTCGAAATTGAAAGAGGCGATTTGGAAAACGCGGCCTGGCCTTCTCACATCTGGCGTTCTGGTGTTGGATTACATGCCGACCACATTCGGCGCGGCAACGCAAAGCCTATTGCAACTCTTGGTTGGGGCCTACACCATCCGCATACAGTCCTGATATCGCCACCAAGCGACTTCCATCTGTTTCGGCTTTAAGAAAAATCTCGGGGGAGGCGCTTTTGGAAGCAATGTGAAGTAAACAGCTGTCAACGATTTTTCCATATGCAAAGCCCTGATTTTTTCCTGGGGGGGCCTTTTTTAAGCTTATCAAGCGATATGACAAAGTCTCAATGTACTTGGTACCTATTGAAAAAAAAAGGTATGTCATATCTTTAATGTCTCATTCTATTTTTTGGCTTTCATACACAACTCTGACCACAGTCGACAGGGGAAACTTATTTTTCAACTTACCCTCGTAAATTAAATAGGACATGCGACGTTAGCTATATTTGTCTCTAATCAATACTATCGTTTCAAGCTGATAACTTCCAGCTCTGAAATATGACAGGAATGAATTTCATTTTTCTTTCCAGAAGAAAAACCAGACGGCAATTAAGTCGACTTTGGATCCATTAGTTTTAATCCAGAGAAACTGATGATGTTGGTCATAATTCTATATCTATCGATTTCCTATTAAAGCTGAAAGCGTATTGCGTTACGAGGGAAATTAATAAACCTTTCAGTGCCCACCCGTCTTCAACTAATGTTTCACTACTAGATGCAGCATCCGGTGTGGACGCGGCTTTACGCAGAGTGAAGAGGTTTCATTTAGGGGGATGGGGGTAGTTTTTAAAAAATGTCAGAAAGTGGTTCTCCCTTATTCTGGTTCAAGATGAATTACGCAGAATTGCTCCGAGCTCGAAGTAAAGTTGAATAAAAGTGTAGAACTAACACAGTGCCATGGAACGGTTTAAGTAAGAAATGATAGTCGATTCGCTATCGGTTATTTTTTGTTATTTTAAAAGCACCCTTCCCTTTGGCAAATTTCTTCATTCTTTCGGAAATATTCGCCAACATCTGACAGACAGTACACTTAAATTCTGCTTTTAAGCTGTACACAGTGTTAAAGAATAAATGAACATGGCGCTGTCTAAAGAGTTTACTCAGAACTGACAGAAGGAACTCAACAACAGTAACGTAAACTTACGATGTGTGCAGCGAGAGCAACATTCTATTATATACGACAGCGTATAATTGAAGAGTGTCTTCCAAATACAGTGTGTCTGCGTTTAGAAATGCAGTCTTGAGTGTGTCTTCGAAAATGCAGACAGTAACCTTTCCCTTGATTTGATGGTCAGCTGTATCAATCACACACATAAACAAAGAAAGGAGCACTCTTCAATCAATCAATATATGTATATATATATATATATATATATATGTAATAATAAAATTCCATAGTCAAGAATACACTTAAAATTCTAACGTATGTTCTTTTCATTTTTTAATGGCGACGGTCTCTTATTTGAAAGTACGTGAAATTAAATCCACAGCCCCGTAGTCAAGTTGTTTTTCTCGCCTTTTTCTACACGTACTGTTATAGAATGTTCTGGAGATATTTAAAGCGAACTGGAATGGCTGACGTCATTTCTTGGAAGCTCCGCCTTTCCAGAGGATCCTATAAAAGGACTCGCAAAGGAATATCGGGGTTTTTTCTTTAATGTAACGATGCAGTAAACTTCATACAAAACGTTACTAGTAATTCTTTTTTATTTACTCCGGAAATATGATTTTTGTAACTGCTATTTCTCCTGACCAATAACAAATGGATCCTGTTTTTTAAACTTATCGTCTGACAATTTAAGCTACGACTACATCTATATTTCTTCACCAATCTATTTATTCCGAACAAAAGCTGGTACATCATATATATATATAGAGAGAGAGATGAATATAATGCATCCAGCTAGGGGAATTCCACGGGTCTGACTAGGGTACAATAATAGCTTAAATGAATCTGCGTTTACTGATTTTATACCGTTTACTTTGTGAAGCAATACCAACAAAAATGTGAAAGAAAAATTAAATATTTTATGCTTTGCCCAAGCAAAATATACACCCACGTGAAAGAGCAAATATTTTAATTCAGGAAATGGCAACATATTTTCTTAAATTGTTGCGTTTGTTTATTAAATTCAAAAAATAAATATACTGCGTTTTACAGAGTGGCAAACAACTTCTTTTAGATCGCCGAAGTTTCTGATTAAATTTGGAATCTCCCGCTTTGCGGAGAGAAATAAATATATCCTACTTCGCAGAATTGTAACGGAAAGCTTTTAAATCTCAGAGTATTTAATTAAAAGTTCATAAATTAACGTAAAATGCATGTATGTGAAGAATGCAGACACAGTGAGATGGCTTTTGAGAAGGATGTATGGCGAATTTCATCAAAATCAGTATAAACCTGAAGATCTGTGTGAAAACCGAATTTTCCTTATGATGATCCAGATGACACATGATTCCAAGAATGTTTGCATGTCGTTAATCACAAAAAATCCCTTTTCACGCAAGAAATTCAAATTTTTTTTAAATCGAAATGAGAACGTGATACGAATCATTAAATTTCTGAACGCGGTTATATTAAGAGCATAGCCACGAAACCCCATGGATAAACTACACATAACTATCACAGCATTATTTCATTAAGGGGACTCATACACCTTAAACCCCTCATGATCTTCGAATATGTGAATGTTGCGAGATTTGGAATATTTTATTTATTTTAAAAGCAATTACTTCCAACTTTTTCAGCTGACTATATAATATAGGTGCTTTGGAACTAGTAACCAGAAAGTTTGTGTTGCCACAAATATTTTGTAATTAATCCTCTTTGTGACAAATATTTCGCCATGTTTCCACCTTGCGGCGCATGATATTTAAAAAAAATGGCTAATTGGTACAACTTGAAATTTGACGGAATTCTTTATATGAGCACTATTTTTAACTGAACCAACAATCTGATGAATATTTTAATACTGAAAAATGTTATGGACGAAAACATTAAATTTTTTTTTAATAAAATACATTTTATAAACTCAACTCAAAATAAAATAAAAATTTAACGTGAAATTTTTAGAATTTTAGGTTCACAGTAGTTTCCAAATGTTATAAAAGCTATATATTAAATATGGAATTAAATTATGAAACAGAATGTTTTAAACTGGGCGCGTAAGTTGGAAACATGACGAAAAATGTTTATACAAAACGGATTAAATTATAAAATTATTTGTGGCAACACAAACTTTCTGATTACTATTTCAGAAAGCAGGTATATTATGTAGTCAGCTATAAAAAGTTGGTAGTAATTGCTTTTAAAATAAATAAGTTATCCCAATTCTTGCAACAGTCACCTATTTGAACATCTTATGGGTTTTAAGGTGTATGGGTCCCCTTAAAAGAAACCTACATTCTGATTAGAATACATAGCAACATTAACATTACAATAGTAAGATATCTTCATTTCTGCTGGCTGAATCTCGTCCATTCTTATTGCTGTCTACACTGCTTCTTCAATCATTCGAAAATAATTAGAGAATTTAAGAGGGCAGCAGCCTCGGCGAAATCGTGACAGAATGGCAGTTCGTGTCTATTTCGGTGGGATGGGTCGATTCTCGTAACAGGCTGGCATAAAGTTCAACAGTTAAAACTGAAATGTTTTGCATGGTTCTAAGCAGGTAGTTTACGAAGTTTTGCCTGTGTTAGTAAAGTACTGTTACGAAGACAATCACTATGTATATTAAGATTCTGAAATTTAAGGGGAGTTCGTTCTCTGATCGCATTGAGGAAAGGTAATATGAAGCGAATATTTTTTTAAGCATATGAGCTTGGTGCCGAAAAGGTATAGAAAATACGCAAGGAAATATGGTTTACTGCACCTGCTTTGAATATAATAAAAAAGCAGAGACAATACCTGTTCGAGTTCTTTTCCATCAATAAAATGAGCTGGTAAGTCAGGCAAACTCCAAGCACTGTTACGCCCTGCTCCTTGGCTAGCAAAGCTAATCCAGCACATACTAAGCTGACTCCTTGCCATGCTAAGGATTCCCTACAAAAGGAAAAAGAAAGCAATCATTATAAAAATTTTTAGTCACACCAAATGATCATTTATCACGTCAGTTTTAAATTTACAGTAAACCATTGCCGAACGTGGGGGTTAGGTCAAAAGTACCATTGCGCGTACGGCAAAATCGCGCCAAGTCAGCATTCTGTGCAGTTTAAATCAAGGAAATAAGAAAGTACGAAAGCAGGATTCCGAGTAAGAAAGAATTTAAACAAGCGTAAATATCGCCGTAATTAAAAGAAAAAAACATTAATTGAATATTGACTCAAAGTTAACCCTTTGTTACTCAGTGTTCCACTACATGGAACACCCAACTTGAATCGCTTCTGAAACCATTAAATTCAACCGTAAATGGATAAAAACGCCTTTATAATATACTTCGAACTTTTCGTTATTACATAGTAGATGGCAGCATATCCACAAAGAGATCCCAGAAGTTTCATTTATGATGTGTTATTAAAATCCGACTTATTATTAAGTAATTTTCTCTATTTTTTTTAGTGATACCCCCACCCCCCCAAAAAAAAACTGTTGAAAAAGAATCTTTTGTATAATTTTGATGGCTGTACTCTTCATTATTTGTTATATATTTTTTTTACAATTTTTCATACAAAAAGCATGCCCGCAGAACAATCGAAATAAAACAGAGCTGTTAGCGGGATCAACTGCATCCTTTAGCGATCTCATGCTATTACGCATCAGAACATCATTCTTAGGAGAAAACATCTGTTGCATACGTTTTCTGTTTCTGTTGTTTTTTGGGTGGGATTAATTCAAACAAAGCAGTATTGAGGGTGGGGTGTGGTTTGTACTATGAAAGCCCTAATATGGGCATCTTGAAATTTTTGTGAATTCAGGCGGGAATTTTTTAGTAGCTCGTCATCCTTTCAGTAGCTCGAGTCATCACAAAACAAGTTTTGTGTTTTTATCAAACTGGTTTGATAGAAACAGGTTGGTTTGTGCTTCTATCGAAAAGGTGTGACATGCTTTGAACAAATTCATGAAGCTAAGAAATCGAACCATTTGTAAATATTTTCTTATATAGGACTTGTGTACATACATATATTTATCTCATTTATCCATATATATTCAAGAATATTGTGTATATCCAGAAAAACATGTATACAGCCACAACACATTGTTTTTTCATTACTGTACAAAAGCTTCTACTCATTTTCGTGCTTCACTGCAATGCTCGCGTAATCGCACTTTAAGAGCTTTGGCGGCGCAGTGTTCCACCTCATGGAACACCCATAAAATTAAAACGGTAAGTGCAATTTTTACAAAATTTTACATGTATACTCCTTTAGGCCTAAATAGACTGAATACAAATTTTTTGTTGAAATTCCGACTTTAAAGTATAGTGTGCCACAAAGGGTTAATTGAGCGATTATGTTTTTCAACAACGTAGCGATTTTTGCTTAAAACCACGGCGTATGACTCAATTCATTGAATGTTTCGTGATAAAATGAGTGCCATTTTTCAGCGCTTCTGATAAAGTACACTCCTCTTTCTTCATTTAAGCCAATCTCCATTCTGTTAAAATGTTAATTACTGTTTAAAGCTTAAATGTTTGAAAATTAAACGCGCTTTATCTTCTTCATTATCATTGCGTTCACCATCTACTCGTGTTATAAAATCATCCAGTTCTTCAAACGACATTTCTCGAATCGTTCTTTGACTTCTCTTCTTCTAGTACATCCCAAAATCTTTCGTTGTCTACTGCTTTTGCAATTTGTACCATTTCTTTGGCTTCATTTTCAGTCGATGGAGATCCTTTAAAATTGCTCATAACTTCTCGAAATTCTAGTGGCGGACAAATTAAATGAAAACAGTTGTGATAACTCGTATAACTGAAATCGCGCACTGGATATCCGCGTTCGGCATAGAATTTACTGTAACTTGAAGCACAAATAAGCACTTATAGGGTAGCGCATGAAGTGTGATACAATTCAGTAACACACATTATAGCACAGTCAGTAACACTGACTGTGCTATAAATTTCCCTAGGCGCCGGTGGCTTTGACAGTTGCTGTATCGCCCATTATTATTACTGTGACTATTCTCACCTGTCTGATCTAATAAGTTAGGTTAGGTTCTTTAATTACGGCAAAGCCTCGAGGGCTATCTGCCTAAGGGGAGGGATGGCTTCGTGCATGACTTTCTAAGGGAAACTGGCTCGTATACACGTTACACATGGGGAAAACACCCATGCAGCCCTTATCTAATAAGAATAAGCTCCCAAAGTGTGCCGCTGTAGGGAGTACAAGAATGCATCTGTTTTTAGATAGAGTCTTGAGCACCGTATTGGTGACAGTCCGACTTTTCTCAGTTCTGATCCAGTTTTCAAGGAGAGCTACCCGGAGGACGGATCCAAGACGCCTTCCTCTAAAACAAACCTCGCTGGAGGACTTTCGGCTCCTTCTTTATTATGAGTACCCCCATGCAGTGTTGCCAGATCGTGCAATTTTGTGACTTTTGACAAACGTGTGCTACTAAAATTTTAGTATTTGCGATTTATATATAATATAAATGAATTTGTTATAAAAAATAAAACAAATTCTACGAAATTATCTGCGCCAACCTGCATTTTTATCTTTTGAAAGCACTTTGATTTTCTGCAAGCATAAAACCCGTTAAGGGGACTCATACACCTTAAAACCCATAAGATGTTCGAATAGGTGACTGTCGCAAGAATTGGGATGACTTATTTATTTTAAAAGCAATAACTACCAACTTTTTACAGCTGACTACATAATATAGCTGCTTTCTGAAATAGTCATCAGAAAGTTTGTGTTGCCACAAATATTTTTATAATTTAATCCGCTTTGTGACAACATTTTTCGTCATGTTCCAACTTGCGCGCACAGTTTGAAACATTCTGTTTCATAATTTAATTCCATATTTAATATCTAGCTTTTATAACATCTGGAAACTACTGTGAACCTAAAATTCTAAAAATTTCATGTTAAATTTTTATTTTATATTGAGTTGAGTTTATAAAATATATTTTATTAAAAAAATTTGTAATGTTTTCGTCCATAAAATTTTTCAATATTAAAATATTCATGAGATTGTTGGTTCATTTATAAAATAGTGCCCCATATGAATAATTTCATCAAATTTCAAATATGTACCATTAGCCATTTTTAAAATATCATGCGCGCAAGGTGGAAACATGGCGAAATATGTTGTCACAAAGGGGATTAAATTACAAAAATATTTTTGACAACACAAACTTTCTAGTTACTAGTTTCCAAAGCAGCTATATCATGCAGTCAGCTGTAAAAAGTTGGAAGTAATTGCTTTTAAAATAAATAAAATATCCCAATTCTTGCAATAGTCACATATTCGAAGATAATGAGGGGTTTAAGGTGTATGAGTCCCCTTAAGGAAATCAGTTTTGTGAAATGAAACTTATAAGCATACACTCAGCTGAAATAAAAGTTGTCAGAAAATGATAAACAGAAAAAAAAAAGAAAACGTTGGTACTCAGCGTGGAGATTTGAATAAAAGTTTAATCGCAAAAAAGCATCAACTGACATATCTTGTTCCCTAGGTGAAGAAACAAAATCATAAAAGAACGATTTCTGTGGTACCAGTAGAGTTATTTCCAAGATAATGTTTGAGATGCATCAAAATATGAGAGCAATTTTTTACACCTTATGGCGAAAATTGCAGGGTATTTCTTTAAGGGGACTCCTACACGTTAAAACCCATAAGATCTTCGAATATGTGACTGTTACAAGAATTGGGATAACTTATTTATTTTAAAGGCAATTACTTCCAACTTTTTACAACTGACTACATAATATGGCTGCTTTCTGAAATAGTCATCAGAAAGTTTATGTTGCGACAAATATTTTTATAATTTAATTTGCTTTGTGACAAAATGTTTCGTCATGTTTCCACCTTGCGCGCACAGTTTAAAACATTTTGTTGCATAACTTAATTCCACATTTAATATATAGCTTTTATAACATTTGGAAACTACTGTGAACCTAAAATTCTAAAAATTTCATGTTAAATTTTTATTTTATTTTGAGTTGAGTTTAAAAAATGTATGTTATTAAACAAATTTATAATGTTTTCGTCCTCAAATTTTTTCAATATTAAAATATTCTCATCAGATTGTTGGTTTAGTTAGAAAATAGTGCTCATATAAAGAATTCCATCCAATTTCAAGTATGTACCATTAGCCATTTTTAAAATATCACGCGCACAAAGTGGAAACATGACGAAATATTTTGTCATAAAGAGGATTAAATTACAAAAATATTTGTGGCAACACAAACTTTTTGGTTACTACTTCGCAAAGCAGCTATATTATGTAGTCATCTGTAAAACGTTGGGCGTAATTGCTTTTAAAATAAATAAAATATCCCAATTCTTGCAACAGTCACATATTCGAAGAGCATAAGGGATTTAAGCTGTATGAGCCCCCTTTATCTGTTTGGAAATATTTCAAGGAAACATTTTCAAGGGGAATTTTGTTTTAGAAACATGTAGGATAAAACACAGTGTTGTATTAGAAACCTCATTTTTACACTACAGCAATATGACTACTTGATCCCGAATTTCGATTTCAATAATGAAATATTTAACCACTCAAATTATAAATCGTAATTTCTATTATTATGCACGTATGCTACTCCATTCTGGAAAAACGACGTTACGTAGAGCATACCTGGTTTTTAATACACATAGACCTTCACCCAAATGTGGCACTTCGAAAATGTATTTTAAATTTTTAAATCAATTTTTTTGTTTTGTTGTTGTTGTTTCAAATTCTTTGTTTGATTCAGTTTTTGCACGGATTTAATGAATATTTGTATAAAAAACCTCAGCCGTTTGAAAGCTAAAAGTGGCAATCCTGTTCAAAATAAAACCTATTTCTCTCAGAATGCCACACAGTTGCCATTCAGCAAATGTAAGATTCAATCGTCAGTTTTAATCCAGAAATTCGGCTATCTGAAAGCAAAGCG